ACTGTTGGAGATGCCGGTGAGAAGATAAGGCCTGGATGAGAATGCCGGTAAGTTGAAGCAATGCCAAGCGGACCATTCATTTATTTGGTACATTGCCACACTCAGTCAAAGGCGCTTTTCTTAGTGCAGAGTTGGAACCCATCAAAGTGACAAGTAAAAGCAATTCTCTTGATTCACTTTCCGTTCAACCGTCGTGGCATCATTTCTCTCCCTATTTTTTCGTCTAGTTTCTATGACAACATCTCCTTCTCTGAACCACACTTCCTAAGGCCAATTGGCCTATTCACACAATTCTGTGCTTATGTGTCCTCCAGTAAGGCCTCGGAGAGCATGCATGGCTTCAAGTGGATTTGGTGAGTCGTAATCAACGCAAGATACGTAACGCAGTCGATTGTCATAGAGAATAGAACTTCACAGACAGGGTGTGATTGGGGAAAAGGCCTAGCCTTCCGCCAAATGCACATCTGCCCTCTCAGCCAACGGCTCTCGTGGCAATGCGGACGAGTGGTTAGAGCATCGAGCTTACGCGCTGCACTGTCATGGTTCGAGTCCCGCTTGGAGTGTTGATAAGACCAGTTGATGCGAGGTCAAGCTGCAGTTCACTTGAGCCTGGATGAGATCGGCTTTTGTAAGATTCATGGGAAACGTCATCTCTACTCGTTTGATTGTGGGAAAAGTCGACTAGCACTCCTTCAACACACAAACGGAAATAGGGTGAATGCATCCATCGCAACTAATTTGCTGGCAGTCTCGAACTGCAGTCTCTAAACGAAACATGATTTGGCACAAGCAGAATTATGTAGTGAAAAGTAGAAAAAGAAGGGCAGATGACTTCTTTTAGTAAAGGAAAAACCTTTTTTCCCATTCATTTATACCAAATGTTTCAGTAAATGTTCTCGAAAACATTTTCTATCAAGTGCCCTTGCTCGATACTCTGCTTTCGAGAACGAGTGGCACGACTGCAAGTTGGAAAGGCTTTTATTTGGTCAAATCTCTACTCGCCCAAGTTGTGAAATGAAATACGTACTTTTTCCCACTTTGCTACGAGCAGACCTGATGGTGCCGATGTAGCTCATTCCGTCTCGCCTCTGAAACCCAATTCCAATCCCAATCGCAATCGCAATGAACCTCAACTTGCAATTGGCTCCGATCTCAGCAGTGCTCCCAGCAAGGATCGAGTCTGAGTGGCGCAGCATTCCTTTGCGAAATGTGACAATTAGACCAGCCCCACCGACTTGTGCGTGTGTCGATGTGTCACGGGACAGACGGAATTGCAAGCCCATGCAAGCGTGTACAGTGTCGATGGATGGTTTATTGTGGGCCTGAAAGCTTCTAATTGTTATGCCATCCTGTCATTTCATCTGTACGTATAGAAATGGTTTTTTCCAATTCATTTCTGTCCAACATGTCTGTTTTACCGTTTGACACTGAAGCTACAAAAGGCTCCAAAAGTTGGAGTAGACCAACAAAAATTGTGCTTATTTTATTATTCATTGAAAACGGCCACAGTCACTACTCGATTGATAAAGTTCAGACGAGATTATCAGCTTCATCGTAAATGTGGAAATAAACAAAACTGTGTCTCTATTTGCTGACAGCCAACATTGCTCAACATTTGGTTTGATCAACTGACGCTCTATTTACCGCATTCAGTCTTTCTGGCTTTGAGTCTTCACCATTCTCGTGCATTTAAACATTCATTTCATTGCATTCATTTCATTTTATGATTACCAGAGACTGGTTCACGAAGCTGCAAACTCTTTCATCCTGAAACCTTTTACAGCATTCCCGAGGAGGTGCAATGAGGTTGAGCGTTGAAGACATGAAAGTTGGTGTTATCTCCAGACTAAAGGGGTACTTCTCCTAGGCTGCTGTGAAATTGGTGACGTGTGATGCATGAATTTGAGAAAAGGTGCAATATCCCAACCGCCGAACATTTCTGACATCATGTTTGACGATGGATTGTAAGCACATGTGGCTTTATTCCAGCTCATGTTGAACGGTTGTAGTCGTGTTGTTGTCGTCGAAGAAGTGGCTTGGAAACTGTTACTCTTCGCTAAAGACCGGAGTTGTCCAGTCGTCTTCAGGCACCATCTGTGCCAATTGGGATCGGAATTTATTTGCTTATCTGCCACGGGGCAGATACAGTTCTCAGTTACTAGAAAAGGTATGCGGAAAATGCTAAACTATTAAATATCTCATTGTGATTGGGGTACGTTTCTGCCGCAATCTTTATCATCTCAGCGAATTTTATGCAAATAATCCAAAGTTGAGTTGCCAAAATTTGGATTGCGGATGCTCAAGTGGTTTTTATGTAATTACCACAACTTCCGAATTAATGCTGGCCAGTAAATGTGAGAAAGCAGTCGACACTTGAAATCTTAGCCCATTTGGAAAACTGATTTTGCACAAATAATTTTTTGATTTTTGTCATGCCGAGTTAGACTAAAAATAGGCAGTTATAAAGGTTGGGTTGCCTTCTAGTTTATGAGGACAAAGTAGGTGAGACTAGCTTCAATATTCCAATTATTCATGCGAGTATGTTTTGAGTAGTATATCATGTTGAGTAAAATAGCTTATCTTGAATGAATTCCATAAAAAAAGAAGTTTTAGTTACTCTATCAAGACTGATGACTTTTGGCACTAGTCTGAGTTTTGATCTGAATCTGTCTAAAGAAGTAGAATAATTAGTGATACTTTTAAGCGAACTTGTTTGCAATTTTAATCAAGTTTAAGGACCCTGTGTGATGATGAAGGAATGTTGTAGAGAAAAATTCAATTTTCGATGAATAAACTCACGATATCTCACAATTAAGGAAACAAGAATGGAAAATTTCCATCACTTAAATTATGACTAAAATTATCGGTTAAATATACCATATTTAAAATAGAGACAATTCGTCCCAACGTCAGAAAGAAAGATAAAGAGAATGAAATATGCTTTTCTCAGAGATTATTCTCGGAGGTGCGTATTTTACAGAAATATAACTCAAAGCTTAAATGATCTTCACATTATTTCAGTAATCTGTCCCAAACAAATGGACACTTTTTCATGTTTTGTCTGAATCAAGTTGACATTCGCGAGTCTATAAAAGATCTCGTGTTTCTGGAAGGCTGTTAAGTGCCTTTACTCGTATTTGGCGCTTTTTCGTTTTTCAACCGAGCCTGGCAAACACAGAATGAGCGGCTTTGTCAGGTTCCTCTCAACTTTCGATAGGAATGCTTAATATAAGCACACTTTTCATTTATTTTTTTTGCTGTTTTTAACAAACTTATTCACACTTAATCACAAATGTTGAGCATGAATGGGTAAGGTGGACACGCGTTTGTGAGGTTTTTGTGAAGAAAGCTGTCCCGCCTCGATGATACCATCTTTCGAGAAGCACGGCTATGCCAAAGCAGTGGGATTGTCAGGCTTTCTAACACAGATCTCACAAGGATTGCATCTTCAGACAGTATTACTAAGTCACCATTACGCCATCAGCTATTTTAACGCGTAAATTACGATTTTGATAATAATGAGTGTGTTTCGAATCGAGTTTAATTAAAACATTCAGTTGATTTCTTCTGCAATCAGATGAGGAGAGCATTACATTTCATCG